CAGCTGCTTCAGCTCCAGCTGCCTCAGCTAGGGTGTAGGGTTTAGGGTTTAGGGTTTAGGGTTTAGGGTTTAGGGTTTAGGGTTTAGGGTTTAGGGTTTAGGGTTTAGGGTTTAGACGCTGCGTCGAGGCTCGGAAGGTTCAGCTGTTTGGGGATTATAGGGATTAGGTTTTAGGTTTTAGGGTTTGCTCAAGATGCCTCAAAGCAGCCCCGTCGTGGTTGAAGGTTTATTGGTTGAGAACCAGGGAGGCTGCAAGGGTCTAGGGTTTAGGGTTTAGGGTTTAGGGTTTAGGGTTTAGGGTTTAGGGTTTAGGTTTAGGGCTTGGGGGTTGCAAAGCGGCGCTGGGATTGGAGAGCTTAGGGGTTCTAAGTACCCGAGCAATCCCGACCACTCAAATCCAGAATCCCAACCTCTCCAAGACCCGTCCCCTAAACCCTAAACCCTAAATCCGAAACCCTAAACCCTAAACCCTAGGGGGGTGGGGAGCTCGTTTCTGTGAACCGATGCGACGCAGCTGCTGCGACGTTTGCAGCCCAGACGCTGCGTCGAGGCTCGGAAGGTTCAGCTGTTTGGGGCTTAGGTTTTAGGGTTTAGGGTTCAGGGATTATAGGGTTTAGCGATTAGGGCTTAGAGTGTTTTTGTTGCAGGGTTCCTGCCGGCCCAACACCTCAGCCTCTAAGTTAAGTACTAGCCTGGCACTTTCTTCCCTCACCCTATCACGAAGGGTTTCGGGCTTAGGATTTAGGACTTAGAGTTTAGATAAACGACGAACCCCAATAAACCCCAAACCCTCGTTTCGGCAAAACCAGATCCACACCATGGTGACTTGCTGTTCAGTAAGTTTCTGAATGCAACCCTAAACCCTAAACCATAAACCCTAAACCCTAAACCCAAAACCCCAGGCCCAGCGAATCCCGCACGGCCGCACGACCCTACACCCTAAGCCCTAAACAAAATCCAAAATCCTATACGCCTGAGCCCTATACGCCTAAACCCTATACCACTAAACCCGCCCCAGCCCCCAAACCCTAGCCCTAAACCCTTAAACCCTTCAACCCTGAAACCCTTAACCCCTTAAGCCCTTAAACCCTTAAACCCGTAAACCCTTCAACCCTTAAACCCCTAAACCCTTAAACCCCTAAACCCTGAACCCCTAAACCCTTAAACCCCAAAAGGGCTTCAGTTTAGAAACCCTAAACCCTCCTAAACCCTAAACCCTTAAACCCTTAAACCCTTAAACCCTTAAACCCTTAAACCCTTAAACCCTTAAACCCTTAAACCCTTAAACCCTTAAACCCTTAAACCCTAAACCCCCCTAAACCCTAACCCCTAAACCCCTAAACCCCTAAACCCTAAACCCCTAAACCCCCAAACCCTTAAACCCCTAACCCTAAACCCTAAACCCCTAAACCCCTAAACCCCTAAACCCTAAACCCCTAAACCCTTAAACCCCTAAACCCTTAAACCCTTAAACCCCTAAACCCTGAACCCCTAAACCCTTAAACCCCTAAACCCCTAAACCCTTAAACCCTAAACCCTAAAACCCTAGCCCTAAACCCTAAACCCTAAACCCTAAACCCTAAACCCTTAAACCCTTAAACCCTTAAACCCTTAAACCCAGTCCTCTCAGGCTGGGAGATGCCCCGCCGCGAACGCCGCGCCCCAGAGCCTTGGCTGATGAAGAAGTTTAGGGTTTAGGGTTTAGGGTTTAGGGTTTAGGGTTTATAAGATTTAAAGGTTTAGGGCTCAGCGGTTTAGGGTTCAGGGTTTAAGGTCTCGGGAGGGTTTAGGGTGGCTGGTTCAGCTACTCGTGCGTTTCAGCTACGCGCACCATGCCGGCGAGCCTGCGTAAGCTTTTACGCGGCAACAAGCAGCGGATATGTGTCAGGACTTGACAAGTTCGTCGGCATACGCTATGTAGAAGCTTGGACAGATGCAGACGCCAAGGCCCGAAACCCGAAACCCGAAACCCTAAACCCTAAACCCTAAACCCTAAACCCTAAACCCTAAACCCTAAACCCTAAACCTAAGCCCTACACGACGAGCCCAAACCACAGGCTCCACTGCAGCCTCCTTTCCCCCGCTGACGCCCGTCCAGGGTTTAGGGTTTAGGGTTTAGGGTTTAGGGTTTAGGGTTTAGGGTTTAGGGTTTAGGGTTTAGGGTTTAGGGTTTAGGGTTTAGGGCTTAGGGCTCAGGGCTTAGGGTTTAGGGTTTAGGGTTTAGAAGCCTGGCAGCCCAGTGTTACACTTGTCCCTTTGTTTGGTTAAGGTTCCCCCATACAGTAATCAACCCAAAAAGTGGTACCCTTATTGTAAGATGGTTTCTGGGCAAAGTTTACGGTACAGGGTTGTTGTATAGGATCTTTTTGCAATTTGCTGAGTGTTGACAAGTATATAGAGGAATGAGAGCCGAGTAAGCTGCGAACCTCGACCCCTTGGTGGTGGTGGTGGTGGTGGTGGTGGCGGTGGCGGTGGCGGTTGGCGGTTGGCGGTTGGCGGTTGGCGGTTGGCGGTTGGCGGTTGGCGGTTGGCGGTTGGCGGTTGGCGGTGCCGCTGCCGCTGCCGCTGCCGCCGCTGCTGCTGGTGGTGCTGCTGCTGGTGGTGCTGCTGGTGGTGCTGCTGCTGGTGCTGGCGGTGGTGGTGGTGCTGGCGGTGGTGGTGGCGGTGGCGGTGGCGGTGGCGGCGGTGGTGGTGGCGGTGGTGGTGGCTGCTGGTGCTGGTGGTACTGCTGGTGCTGGGTGCTGCTGGTGCTGCTGCTGCTGATGGTTCTGGTGGCGCTGGTGGCGGTGGTGGTGGTGGGGCGGAACCCTCAATCCTAAACCCTGAAACCCTGAGTCCGATAAAGCCCTATAAATGTGGCATCGGGAAATCAACAAGCGATCAAGAATTGAGCGTTTTGGGCTTAGGGTTTAGGGTTTAAAAAAAAAAAAAAAACAAGCTGACTAAGCCCTGAAGCCTGACCCGCCCGGCCCCTGTAAATGTAGAGAGGCCGCAATACAGGAGCACTCCAGGAGCCGATGAAGAATTGCCGATGTGGTTTTGTATAGGGTTTAGGGTTGTAGGTTGTAGGGTTTGGGATTTCGGGTCTACAACGTCTATAACCCCTTTATGAATAGAATCTAACCCAAAGCATCCATTCTATTTCAACCTGCTGAACCCCAAAAAACAAACCCAAAACCCCAAAAAAACCTATACCCTAAACCCTATACCCTAAACCCTAAACCCAAACCCTGAACCCTAAGCCCTAAACCCTATACCCCAGGCCCTGGGGCGCAAGCTGCTCGAGGGTCCCAGGGTTTCTTCAGGGTTCGGTCGGGGTTAAGGGTTTTGGGGTTCAGGGTGTAGGGTTTACGGTTCGAGGGTTTAGGGTTTAGGGTTTAGGGTTTAGGGTTTTGGGCTTCAGGGTTAAGGGTTTAGGGTTCAGAGTTCAGGGTTTGGGGTTAGGGCTAGGCGGCTTCTGAAACCCCATGTTCCTCTAATGAAACTTGACCCTAAACACGAAAACCCTAAACCCAAAACCCTAAATCCTAGACCCTACACCCTAAAAGACCCTAAAAACTCCTAAACACCCTAAACCCCTAACTAAACCACTAAACCCTAAAAGACCCTTAAACACCCTAAACCCCTTAAAGAAAGCCCTTAGAAGGAACCTTGGGAGCTGCGAGCCGACGAGTCAGGCTTGGACTTGTGTCGGGCTGGGGGGGGGGGGGGGGGAGGAAATCGATGGTGAGTTTTGGGTTTTTATAGGTTTTTTTCAGAGTTTTGTAGCTCTTTTTAAGGTTTTTGTAGGTTTTTTTTTTTTGTTTCAGGGTTTTGGGGCTTATAGGATTTAGGGGGTTCAGGGCTTGGGCTTTGGGGTTTAAAGGGTTCTAGGGAGGAAATCGATGGTGATTTTTGGGTTTGAGGGTTTTAGGGTTTATAGGGTCCCTAGGGGTTTAGGTTTAGGGTTTACGGCTTAGAGCCCTAAACCCTGAATGCTAAGCCTCTCAAACCCACAATTGGTGAGTCAAATGTTCGCTGGAAACCTGACACCTTCAACCCCGTTTCCCTCCTTAAGTAACCTTAATTAGGCTTGATTATCCCTAAGTAGCCTTATAGGTTTACGTAGGGTTTAGGGTTTAGGGCCAGGTTTAGGGGTTAGGGTGCTGTAGATTTAAGGGGGGAACCGAAGACAGGGGGGGGGATAGTAGAGAAGGGGGGTCGTAGGGGAACCCATGAGACACGGGTTGAAAGGCTCTTGCGCGTCCCTGGCTCGGCGCTGACAGAGATTGGTTAGGGTTGAGGGTTGAGGGTTTAGGGTCTAGGGTCCAGGGTTTAGGGTTTAGGGTTTGGGGTTTGGGGTTTAGGGTTTCGGGTTTAGGGCCCTATAGACCCTAAGCCGTAAACCCCAATGAATTGGGGGCGGGTGGGGGAATCTAAGGGTCGTCTGAGGGTCGTCTTGGGAAATTTCTCAGGGTTCGTATGGGGTCATAAGGGAAATATAGGGTTTAAAATGATCAACTACCAAGAAAACTCTGTAAGCCCTACACTCCCAAAGGGAATTTGTGAATCAATTAGGTGCATCCTCCTGGACGAATTCTGGGCCAACTCCCCATCAAGAGCCCGTAAGCAATGGCAAGCGAACCCTCATAAAGGTGCATTGTGATGTACCCTACTATATATAGGGTCTTCATGATTATTTTAGGGTTTTGGAGGCTCTTATGGTATACCTACATAGGGACCAAAAGGGACTACCACGAGTGCATATTCCGAGCCCCTATATTTGGATGCAAACAGCTCTTACAATGTCCAGCTGATGCCACCCTAAACCCTAGACCCTAAACCCAAAAACCCTAAACCCTAAACCCTAAACCCTAAACCCTAAACCCTGAACCCTGAACCCCTGAACCCTAAACCCTAAACCCTAAACCCTAAACCTAAACCCTAAACCCTAAATTTCATGGTTGCCAGCCATCTCCGCGGCTCTGGGTGCCGACTGCCGACCACCTTATGTGGCCGACATGTCTGTAGGCCGCGTGCGCTCAGAAGCTGGGGAGCCCAGTGGCGCCCGTTTCGCCTTTGTTTGGTTCAAGGTTCCCTTACAAAGTAACAAGCCAACAAAAAGGGGTGCCCTTATTATAGTATAGGATGGTTTCTGGTCTTTTCTGGTCTACCAAGGAAGTAGCTGCCTACGCTTTGCCAGCAAGCGAGTCCTGGAATACCTCTCCGTCTTAGCGCAGCTGGTGACCTCGCACTTGGGCCCGGTTCTGGCGGTGTCCGCGGGAGAACGCCACACCTGTGTGCTGAAAACAGACGGGCAGCTTGTATGTTTTGGCCGCAATGTGGAAGGTCAGTGCGATGTGCCATCAGACCTAGGGCCGATTTTGGCCGTGTCCGCGGGCTATCACCACACCTGCGTCATAAAGACGACCGGACAGCTTCGTTGTTTTGGGAGCAACATCCAGTACGTGCAGAACATCAAGCCTGGGCAAGTTGTGAATGTGCAGAAGGGCAACCTCGGCCTGTGTGATGTGCCAGCACACCTGGGACCGACTCTTGCAGTTGCGGCCAACTTCGCACACACATGTGCAGTAGGCGCGGATGGAGGACTTGTGTGCTTCGGACATCCCAACGAAGGCAAGTGTGACGTGCCCGAGGATGTAGGGCCGGTTATTGCTGTGGCTGCAGGTGCTCACCACAGCTGCGCGGTGAAATTCGATGGACAGCTTCTCTGCTTCGGGCGCGGAAACGAGGGCCAGTTCCCTCAGCAGCTGAGTGAGCACACTTTGCACTTTTAGGGGATACCATAACCCCTTATAGAACTGAAAGTGTACACTTTTTGGGGGGGCTTAGGAACTCGGCACTAAGGTGCCGAGTTCCGGTGGATTTGGGACCTGTGCTGGCAGTTTCGGCTGGCGAGGACCACACCTGTGCAGCTTGGTAGCCGAGTGGGGCCCTTTTGCGCCCTTTTTGCTGTCCTAGGTTAACAACAAAATTAAAATGGATACCCGTATTTGCCCATAACTACCCATAACTACCCATAGTTGCCCAGAATTACTCATAACCACCCATAATTACCCATAATTAACCATAACTACCCATATCTACCCATAATTGCCCATAACCATCCTTAATTGCTGCATGGTCACTTGGCTTGCAAGGCAGTGAAGTCAGACGGGCAGTTGGTGTGCTTTGGAGGCAAGAGCCACGGCCAGTGCAATGTGCCAGCAGACTTGGGCCCAGTCTTGGCAGTGTCGGCAGGAGATCACCACACCTGCGCGGTGAAAACCGACAAGACTTTGGTATGCTTTGGGTCAAACAAGGATGGCCAGTGCAATGTTCCTCTGGGCCTGGGCCCAGTTTCGGCCGTGTCGGCCGGAATGCGTCACACCTGTGCAGTTACATCAGGTGGAGATCTCGTCTGCTTTGGACGAAACGCAGAGGGCCAGTGTGACGTGCCTGATCTGTGAGGTGCAGCCCCTGACCCCTGGCGCCGAGAATCGGCCCCTGTGTTCCGCTCCCCGGATCAACAGGATCAAAGTGGTCGTTTGCCGGCAGTGACAGGTGAAGCTGCGTGTTCACTGTTGGCTGCCAATCTTCAAACGCACTAAGCTGGTAACCAGTCACGGGCAGAAGCCCACGCCCTGAATTTATGGGTTTACCGCGCCAGCAAAAGAAGAGCACTGAACATTGCAAAATAAGTTCAAAACAATGTCGGGTTTAAAGTTGGGCCGGGTATTGCGAGACTGAGATGTCGGCGCAAAGTGGACAGAGCTCAGATCGCCCCAGCGGCGTTTTTGCCGCCAACAACCCACCTGCCCAGAGGACCCTAAACCCTAAACCCTCAACCCTAAGCCCTAAGCCCTAAACCCTAAACCCTAGACTTCTCCATGCCAAACCGAACGTCGAACCCTATGAGACCCTATGAACACTGCAAGAATCCCTGAAACCGAAGCCTCAGCTGAGGAGAAGAAGAACAGGAAGAAAATTCGGGTTTAGGGTTTAGGGTTTAGGGTTTAGCGGTGGGTTCCCAGATGAGGGGTACCACATTGGGGTCCTTCATTTAGGGAATCCTACTCTTGGAAGTTCGATATTGAGGGCCCGTGTTTTCGTAAACCCCGTATACCCTTCGAAGTGAAGTTTGGTCTTCAAGGTTGGATGTCTTCACTTAAGGTTATGGGGTTTAGGGTTTAGGGTTTAGGGTTAGGGTTTAGGGTTTAGGCCTGCCCTACATCTGGAACTTCGTGCTGTGGGTGGGCACAACAGACCTCCACCAAATCCTACCTTCACGGCTTTCTGGTGTCGTTGATCTTTACAGGGCCACAAGCAGTCCATTCTTGGGATCATAGTGAAATTCGAGTTTTCGAAGTTAGGGTATTGGGTTTAGGGTTTAGGGTTTAGGGTTTAGGGTTTAGGGTTTAGGGTTTAGGGTTTAGGGTTTAGGGTTTAGGGTTTAGGGTTTAGGGTTTAGGGGCACCTTCTAAAGGGTCCTCATTATAAAGGGAATCCTACGATTTAGGGGTCTATATTCGGGGTCCCCTATTTTCGTAAACTCCCAAATCCCTGAAATCCCTAAGCCCTGAACCCTACAAACCCTTAGCAAAGCCTTTGGTCCAACCCTAAACCCCAAACCTCACATTCCCCCGACCCAAAGTCTAAACCCTAAACCCCAAACCCCTAACCCCTAAACCCCAAACCCTAAACCCGAAACCCCAAACCCTAAACCCTAAAGCCTCAACCCTCAACCCTAAACCCTAAACCCTAAACCCTCAACCCTAAACCCTAAACCCTAAACCCTAAACCCTAAACCCTAAGCCCTAAACCCCCGTTTGGCCAACACAGGCTGTGCGGAGCCGGCCCCGGAGGCCGTTCCCCGACGGAGGGGCAAACTCCGCAGCCGGGCTGTTGAGGAGCGCGTGTTAGGGTTTAGGGTTTAGGGTTTAGGGTTTAGGGTTTAGGGTTTAGGGTTTAGGGTTTAGGGTGTTAGGGTGTTAGGGTGTTAGGGTGTTAGGGTTTAGGGTTTAGGGGTCTAGGGGTTTAGGGGTTTAGGGGTTTAGGGGTTTCGGGGTTTAGGGATTTAGGGGTCTAGGGGTTTAGGGGTTTAGGGGTTTAGGGGTTTAGGGGTTTAGGGTTTAGGGTTTAGGGTTTCGGGTTTAGGGTTTAAGGGTTTAAGGGTTTAAGGGTTTACGGTTTAGGGTTTAGGAGGGTTTAGGGTTTCTAAACTGAAGCCCTTCTGGGGTTTGAGCCTATAGGGTTTAGTGCTTGAGTTTGGGCAGTTTGGGGTTTGCAGCTTCGGGAGCGTAGTATAAGGGTTTTTTTTGACCAGAATGAGCATGTATGATGGTTCAGCAGAATTGTATATATACTCATATGTGACTCCTGTACTGGCTTTTTGATTTGTGTGGGCGTTGATCTTGATCCGCAAGCCGGAAATCCTTCCAAATGTCCCCAGACCTTGTTCCGGTTTAGGCTATCGGCTTAACTCTGGTCTTTTGCCTATAGCCCAAGCCCAAGCCCTACAGATTATAGGCTAGAGTACCCTAAACCCTAAACCCTAAACCCCAAAACACTTGAGAGGAGGACTCGGACGCGACGCAGCCCAAGAGCACCTCGCTGCATCCTGCTGACGCTCGAGGCAAGGTTGAGGGTGTAGGGTCTAGGGTTTAGGGTTTGGGGTTTAAGGTTTAGGGTTTAGGGTTTAGGGTTTAGGGTTTGGGGTTTAGGGTTTAGGGTTTGGGGTTTAGGGTTTAGGGTTTAGGGTGTGGGGACCCAACATCCGCGGTAGGTGTACATATTTTCTTCGTGGAACGGAATTTTCGCGATGTACACCCGATATTTTCAGGGCAACCGAGTTCCGTCACGAACGTGCAACTCTAACCTACCCACCCAGAGATTTTGTAACCAGCTTATTAAGTTCTTAAGTGTACTCAAAATCAAAGTACGTGCGCGCAGAAAGTGCAGTTGAATGCAGGAGGTCGGGTATGATCCAGAATACCTCTGTTTTACCATTGACAGTACTGTCAATAGAAGTATATGACATAATTACCACTTACGTGTACACAGAGAAGTGCTTATAGGAAGTAGACGTGCAGACAGAGAGGTGAGTGAGTGTTCGATGATCGTAGTATCAGGGCAAACGGCAAGTTGCAGTTGGGGCAGAATTGTACGCATACGTCCCAATTTCTAATGCCAGGATAAGACGACGGGAGCCGTTTGTTGAACATTTCTCAAGGCCGGGTTTGCATGAGCATGCGCCTAAAGTTTCCGTGGAGATACAGCGGTACACGCAATGCGAGTGGCGCTCCGCATCCATGTGTCTTCCGGATTTCCTACGTCTGAGTGACCGGCAAGGCAGCATCCACAGCAGCGTGACAGTATACGCAAAGCGACCGAAAGATGACACTGGAGCAGTTGGCCAATGCCTGTCGACCAGCAGGGGCCGTCATGGTTGCAGCCATCCGATACGCCCGAACAAACCCTAACTTTTTCAAGCAATTGCTGATGATGCACGTGCCGTTCCGACAGGTGGATGGCTCGAGCTCGTGCCGTCAGAGTTGCAAGGTTTGGGATTGTGTCTATTACACCGGCCCAGATTGGCGATTTGTGGCCAGTGTCCGTCACGAAATGGAGCTTGAACCGGCCGGAAGCTGTCAAAGCAGCAACAGAGCTCATCGACTCGTACCTGACCGGCAGCTAGGCCCGGTCGGCAAAAAATGCAACAATGTGCTACGCGATCAATCCTTCGAATTTGTCTGCGAAACAATTGCAGCCTTCCGACAGATTCTCGCAAAGTAAAATTGGCAACTAATGGGTGAAGAGCCTTTGTTGGCCAGGAACAGCTGTTGCCTGGCTGGAGAATCTTGGGCGAGCGGTCTTTGCTGCCGCAGCTTTTTGACCGGATCTGCCGGCGCGCTGGCCTTGGAAAAAGAAAATAGTGTCTGCTCACGGCGGTTCAAATTCACATGGATATGAGTCTTGCTGCGGTGTTTAGGGCCTAATGTCAAACTTTGCCAGCTAAGATTTTGTTCATCTAGCTTTGTGAATGTAGGGGGCTGGGCCCGTGAACGAAGGCTAGCTGAGGGTCTTCTTTTGCACATTCTTTCTGTGCGCCTGATGGTCTGTTTTGATGCTCTGCGCCACTTGACCAGCTCCTTGACCACTTCTCTGCATTTTCTGACATTAGTCTGCGTAAAATTAGGCTCGTGTGATTTTCACGCAGCAAAACATCCAAAATCTAATTTTGGCTAAGCTGCTTTCGTGCAATTTGGCCAGCCAATACCCCTTGTATTCCTTGCAGTACAGGGCTGGCACTGAACCCGGACCCCCTTTCCGGGATTAAACTAGAGGTTCGCAGACCCTGCCTCTGGCTGAGTATCTTGCTTTTACATTTCGTAAGAGACGATATGCTGTACACCAGCGCAGTCCGAGCCGCATACCAAGTGCCCTTGTAGCCCCCCTTATAAGGTTGAGGGTTGAGGGTTTCGGATCTGTAGCTTTCCAATTTTTGGGCAGGAGCGAGTGGAATGGACGGTGCAAGTTTTGGGGAGGGGGCGTCAGGGTAGACAACTAAACCCCTACACCCAATATGGGTGCGGCTCAAAAGTCCAGGTGTGTAACTGGCTCTCGGGCGTCTTTCCGCGACATAGGGTTTGTAACAAAGCCGTTCTGCTTGCGACAAGCAGTCCGCGACAAACCTCCGCGACAAGCCTCCCCGACAAGCCTTTGCGACAAGCCCCTTCTTGGAACTGCATGGGTTTCATATCTCTTTTTCAAGGCAGCGCGAAACAGCCGCGACAAACCCCGCGACATACGTATGAAACAACTGGGCGCGACATACGTATGTAACACAGGCGGGTGGCGGGACACCGTGACATACCCCTATTTAGAGCCACAGCCATATAGCAGCCTATTAAATCATCTACACTATACCCTACGCTTCCAACCACCTAAAAAAACGATGGCACTTCCGTAAAGACCTGTTTTTTCGGGTGGTTCGAAAATCGACTCCGAACCACCTGATTTTACCCCATCCTGTTTGAAACCGAATCGGCCCAAGCCACCCAGATTTACCCCCCACCCCGATTTCAGGCCCAGAGCCCGAGCCACCTGAATTCGGCATAGTCCTTATTATGGTGTTCTAGACTCCCTTATGGTGTTCTAGACTCCCCCGCGGCATCTACTCACGATTCCTCACGGTTTTCTCACGGGGCAAATCTGCGTGGCTCAAATTGAACTCACCTCTTCGTGGCTGCCCGGGCCGGCCCTTACTCACGCCTGCTCATGGTTTGCTCACGCTTTTTGGGGTTGATTTACTCCCTAGATTTTTTTGGGTGGTTCGTCGGGTAAAACTGTGTCGCTGCCACACCAAGCATTCACAGACGGTGTCGGGTAAAACTGTGTCGCTTCGAGAAAACTGTAGGGTGAAATTGTGGCGCTGCGACAAATAGGCATTCATTTTGCTTCGCATGCTTGGTCGGGTAAAATTGGGGCGCTCGGGGGTAAAATTGTGTCTTTCGCAGCCACACCGAAATACGATGTCGCAGAAGCACAGGGTATAGTATCCCCTTCTTCGGCGACGGACAAAAAGGGTTTTTCGAGGCTTTTCGGCAAAGGAGGTTTAAAAGTAGCTGAAGATGTGGACCAAAGACGCTTGAGTAACTCGGAGACTTCTTACGAGAATCTCTTCTCTTTACCCTCCGTTTCCGCAGTTGCCGCGAAATCTTTTGTTAAACCACTATTCTGCGCGGGCGCATCAGGGCGAAGCCCGTAGAATTTAGGGTTTAGGGTTTAGAGTTTAGGGTTAGAGTTTAGGGTTTAGGGTTGAGGGTTGAGGGTTGAGGGTTGAGGGTTGAGGGTTGAGGGTTGAGGGTTTACGGTTTAGGGTTTAGGGATGACATGGGGCCTCTACACTACCAGCCTGCGCCTGTCTGCAGGGGAAGCCGAGTCAGCGGCTGCCATCAACACCCCGCCGGCCGTGGAGGAGGAGAAGGAATCAGCCTAAACCCTAAACCCTAAACCCTAAACCCTAAAACCCCTAAAACCCCTAAAAACCCTAAAAACCCTAAAAACCCTAAACCCCAACTCTCAAGGCCCTGTAGCTTGAAGTTATTGAAAAGTGTAAAAGAACAGAAGCTTTCCTCGGCACTTTCCCTGGAGCTTCCTGAAACTCCCCGGAACTTCCCCGGACCTGGGCTTAATAACCTTCCCAAACCCTAAACCCTAATTAGCCCCTAGACCACAAACCCTAAGGTTGGTAACCCCCTAGAGACACAGGGGCGCTAATAGCTCGCGGCGAAGCACAGTTGTACCGGTAGCTTCCCTCAGCTCTTCTTTGTCGACTGTCCGCAGCAACAGACAACTTGAAGTTGGATTTAGGGTTTAGGGTTTAGGGTTTAGGGTTTAGGGTTTAGGGTTTAGGGTTTAGGGTTTAGGGTACGAAGTGCCTGTGGCCACAGTGTTGCCTGATGAGGTAGTCCCTGATCATGGCTCGCCGCTCGCCTGGGCTGGACATCTTCGAAAACCATGCGGGCAAAGACCGGCAGAGATCTGGTGCGTGCGACCGTGCAAGAAGTCACACGCACCCGGCGCTTCGTCTTAATGACTGTGGATACCGATCCTCAGATGGAACACCAGAAGGACATGGTGACATTCTGTACCGGTAACTATGTCGGCGCAGTGCGACAGTGCCCAGCACTCTTCCTGGCGGCGGCGCTGAAGTTCAGGAGGTCAATTTTGAGTTTACCGGGTGCTCTTACAAGGGTGCTTCTCAAAGGCAAGTTGCTTGATTCTCTGGACTGCCGGTCGGTGTCTGTGTCAGTGGTCATGAAGTTCAATGAGTCGTGTGACCCGTCTGTCTTCCCGTAGGGTTGAGGGTTTAGGGGTTGCGGGTTTCGGGTTGAGGGTTTCTAGGGTTGAGGCGCTTCAGGGTTCAGTGTTGTGGGTTTGGGGTTTGGGGCTTGGGGTTGGTTTTCGGGAGTCGGGGGGTGGCTCGTGGGAGATGTAGGGTTAGAAACCTGAACCCGAATTCAATGAATACTCCACAAATCCGAATGAGGGAGAACCCTGAATGCCAGGAATTCTCCTTACTGTAACTCCTATGAGGGATGCATGATGTATGAATATTCCTTTCCTAATGGGTGCTGGACTCTTTGGGCCAAGCCCTAGACCCGAAACCCCGGGACCATGCAGGAAGTGCCGGCTCCAGGCGACGAAGGCGCCGGAAGGCCCCGTGCTTGTCGAGTTTCACCTCTTTCCCCTAAACCCTAAACCTTAATCCTAAACCCTAAATCCTAAACCCAAAAACTAAAACCTAAGTCCTAACCCTAAATCCTAAACCCTGGGTGAAATTTTAGGTTTGGGTCGTAGGGCCCTTGAAAACAGAAAGCCACTGAGTCGGACTCTACAACAAGGCCCTTTGCTTGAAGGGCTTTGGGTAGTTGTGGGGTTAGGGTTCAAGGTCTAGGGAGGTCTATCAGGGTGGCTTCCTAAAACATCGCTAGCAGGGTGGCAATACTTTTGTATAGGGGAACGATAGCCATCGCCAAGAACCTTTATAAGTATATACCATGGACGTTAGAAGTATATAATATACTATACGTATTGTCTTGCGAACGTAAGCTGACATTATGATGATCCTTTGCTTAGACCCTTAAGCCTTGGGGTGTTTCCTTCAAAGTAGAACACACAACAGAACTACATATTGCTGTGCACAAGTAATGTAGCACAACATATACCTTGAACCCTAAACCCAAAACCCTAAACCCTAAACCCTAAACCCTAAACCCTAAACCCTAAACCCCCTGGATCCTTGGGGTGTTTCCTTCCCCCTATCAGGGAGCAGACGCGCAGCGAGCTCGCCTCGGAGGCTTCCAGGGCTCCCGGGTGTGAACCCTCCACCCGTAGGGTTTAGGGTTTTTAGGGTTTAGGGTTTAGGGTTTTTAGGGTTTAGGGTTTAGGGTTTAGGGTTTAGGGTCTAGGGTTTAGGGTTTAGGGTTTAGGGTTTAGGGTTTAGGGTTTAGGGTTTAGGGTTTAGGGTGTAACCCTAAACCCAAAACATCAACCCCCCAAAACCTGCACAGACCCAAGCCCTGGGGCCAGGGTCAAGGTTTATTGGGCTCAGGGTTCAGGGTGTAGGCTTTTTTGGCTTTAGGCTTTGGGTCTGCTCAGTCTACCTAAACCCTAAACTCTAAACCCTAAACCCTAAACCCTAAACCCGAAACCCCCCCCCCCCCATCCATCCCCCATTCCGGCCGACCTTCATGGGTCGAATTCAGGGCGTTGTGAACAATAGCCACGTTTTGGGGGATGTAGGCCTAGAGCCAAGTCTTGAGGGTTTAGGGTTTAGGGTTTCGGGTTTAGGGTTTAGGGCGCAGGTTCTAAACCCTGAGCCCTTAGAGTCTAAGAAGCCTTCGTTGAGAGCTTTTGGCGGGGAGAGACTCCGGAAGCCAGAGCCCATGCCTTTAAACCCGTAACCCCTATAAGCCCTAAAATAAACCCTAAGATCCCTCAATGAATGAAAGGGCCTAAGAGCCCGTTAGCAAAGACTCGAACCTGTAGATTGCTAAAATCACAAAAAATGAACTAGACCCAATCTTCGCTGGGAAGATTCCCCACCTCACCCCCACCACCAGGCGTCCCATAAAATCCCATACGCATCAACCGCAAACACACACCCGGACCCCATCTCGAAACTGCTTGGGGTTAAGTTGACGAGAGTCCAGGGGTTTTAGGTGCCTGAGGCTCTCCGTGTCAGAGCCCTTTTTTTCAGAGAAGTCTGTTTCACGCCATCTTGCAGAAACACAAAGGGCCCGAAGGGGCAAAACTTAGCAAGACGAGCCCAAAGAAGGGCAAAGTGAGCGAAGTTCTTGGACTCCGCATCCTCGTGTGTGCTTCAAACTATTCAATGAAGCCCCCGAAACCCTAAACCCTAAACCCCGAACCCCGGCCAAATCCCCCGAAGCGAGCAAGATGACAGGCCTTCGGTCACGACAGCATCCGCAAAGCCTACGAGGCGCGAGGTTCGGGGTGCACGAGCTGCAAGCGTTGATGTCAAAAGATGAAGACTATATTTCCCTTAGGAATTATTGTTTTATTTTTGGTTATATAAAGCCCAAGAAGATATTAAATATGTAGTTTGTATTTGGGTTCTAAGGGATTATAGAAGACTCGCCCTCCTAGGTTTGTACCCCTAAAGGTTCCTCTTAACAAGGGCTTAGCGTTTAGGGTTTAGGGTTTCGGGTTTAGGGTTCAGGGTTTAAGATACTCCGAATATGGCCCTTATACTGCCTTAAGGATCTTTAAAAAGGTTCCCCACAATCAAAGGAACAACCTTAAGGGTCCAAGGCAGAACCCCAGATGGGGTGTGGTACCTTCTTGGGGCCCTTATTGTCAGGGGATCCTACGATTAGGGGATCTATATTGTGGGCCCCCTATTTTCGTAAACCCATAGTGTTCCTTTTGGCGGTTCGTGCTATGGTTTTCTGTTCAGGTGTTTAGTGTTTACTAGTAGACTACCCCAGAACTCGCACGAATTGTAGGCAGGGCGTAGGTCCAGTTAAGAAGAAAGATAGAGGCAAAGCAGCTTGTACTGTGTGAGCGCCACTAAGCACCAAACCCTAAACCGTAAAGCCCCCGCAATGCAAGGCCCCAAATCGAAAGTCATCAGATAACGATTGCATTCTCTAAGCCCGAAGCCCTATCTTCAGAACTCAACTCCTATTTCTAAGATTCCTCGCTCACAAGCATGTGCCGGGTTCTTAAGGTAAGACCTAAGCCCGAAAACCCTTGCCCTTTCAGCCCTAAGCCTTAACCCTAATCCCAAAACTTATAAGCCAGCCATAAGCAGGACCTGGGTGCTGAGGCCTTCTATGCAGCAAAGGCGCGGGTTTTTTTTGCCGGAGGGAGGGGGAGGTTGGTCGATTCAACCGTTAGAGTAAAAGCCCTATCACTAAGACCTCGGTTTCGGCTGTTGCTGTGTGGGGTAAGGTCCAGCGTTTCGGGTTTCGGGCCCCACTGTTCGGTTAGGGAGATGGGCACCCAAAACCATACTAAACCATTTCAGGATGGTCACTAGTGACCCGTAATAACGCCAAATTTCTCTTTCTTCCTAGCTTACAGGGGAACCAACGTACAAATACAAAGGCCAATGCAAGCCAGTACACCTACAAATGCAGATTCCAACACACATACCACTACAAATACAAATAATTCTAGCACCAATACACACACACACACACACACCAATGCCAACACAAAACCCTAAGCCCCGAAACCTTAAACCGTGAACCCGCCTGCACATTCTATCCATCTGCTTGGTCTTGGAGGGCGCCGCTTATGTGAACCCGCACAGCGAGGTGTTGAACGAGGCCGGCGCGTACGCTTTTGGGGCTTTCGGGCTTATGAGGTTTCGGGCTCGTTGGGTTTAGGGTATGTGGGGTATGTAGGGTTTCTAGGGTTTTGCAAGGTTGGTCGGGTTTGTAGGGTTTGTAGGGTTTGAAGGGTTTGCAGTTTAGGGTGTGGCTTTTGCAGGGTTGGGGGTTAGGGCTTGGGGATTTTGGCTTGTAGGGCGATGGGGTCAGGTTTCTTAGGGCTTCGGACTAGGAATGTTTAGGTCGGATCGGCAGGCCATGAACCCTATATACTGCAAACGCAAAACCGTACAACCCTAAAACCTCCCTGACTCCTGTAGAATCCTTGCTCTTCCCGCCCTATGCCTAAACCCTCAATCCTAAACCGGTAAAAGCCTAAAGCCCTAAAGCCCTAGACCTCAACACGAAACCCTAAAACCCTAAAACCCTACAACCCAAAACCCTAAACCAAGAGCCCCCCCCCCCCCCCCCCCCGAAAAATTGAGGCAATTATCCCGAAAGTGCCCTTATAAGGAAGCAAACCTCACAAACCCTAATCCCTACGAATCCGTTAAACCCTACAAATCCTACACACCCTGAACCCGAAGCCAGTTTCTTGTGCTTCAGAGGTTGGCGTTTGGGGATACTTGATCTCAGACTTGAGCCTTTGCCTCCTAGTATAATTACGAGCCAGGCTTAAAGGTTAGGGTTTAGGGTCTAGGGTCTAGGGTTTAGCGTTTAGGGTTTAGGGTTTAGGGTTTTAGGATTGTCGGCCTTTAGGCTTTTTTTGGGCTCAGGGGTTTGGGGTTTCCGGGTTGAGTGTTTAGTGTTTAGGTCTTCGGTCTTCGGGTTTTGGGGTTTAGGGGTTAGGAGTATGGGGGTTCGGTCTGGCGCAACTCCTTTTGGAGGTCGGTCTGCATGCTGATCTAAATCAGGGGCCCTTTCTGGGCCTCTGCTGCCCCCACGTACAATCTGTCTTATTCTTGTCCCTACCCTAAGCCCTAAACCCTAACCTACCCTGAACCCTGGACCCTAAACCCTATAAACTATGAACCCTAACCCTAAACCCTAAACCCTAAACCCTAAACCCTAAACCCTCCTAAACCCTCCTAAACCCTGCAAAACCCTGCAAAACCCAGCAAAACCCTGCAAAACCCTGCAAAACCCTGAACCCTAACAAATCCCTGAACCCTAATTAATCCTAAACCCTAAACCCTAGACCCTAAACCCTAGACCCTACAAAACCCTGAACCCTAACAAATCCCTGAACCCTAATTAATCCTAAACCCTAAACCCTAAACCCTAAACCTTAAACCCTAAACCCTAAACCCTATAAACCCTGAACCCTAAATAATCCTAAACCCTAAAGCCTTTTTGAAGCTCCAGGCTTTTGCCTGTGCCCTGGACGCCTGGGCAAGCCGTGGCTGATCGGCATCAGGAGTTTAAGGGGTGTGTGGGGTTTTGGTAGCAGCAGCGGGCGGGCTGAACACAGGTTCGTGCGGCTCCAGTGGAGCGGTACAAAAACATGCAATCATAGGCATCAGGCAGCTAGCTGAGATCGTGCCAACGCCCAGCCATCGGGGTTCATGGCGGGGGCTTCATGCTGCGCTGCTGAAGGGCCTACTGAATTATCCGCAAAACATGCAATGATGTCAGCAGTCTCATGACATAAGGCCCGAACTGAGAGCTCAAGAGCCCTGACATCAAAGCAAGAAAGAGTGCTAGCTACGTGAACTAGCTCAGACAGCAACTGTGTGGGCTTAGGGGGAGGCTGAAGGGGTCGGTTTAGGGTTTAGGGTTTAGGGTTTAGGGTTTAGGGTTTAGGGTTTAGGGTTTAGGGTTTAGGGTTTAGGGTTTAGGGTTTAGGTCTTAGGGCTTTTTGGGTTTGAGGGTTTGAGTGCTTTAGCCATAGGGTTTGATGGGTTTAGGATTTTGGGCATGATAGGGTGCCGGGTGCAAGATGATGCATTGCTTAGAAGGGGCTGTGGTTTAAGGTTATGGCTTGGAGGCTTGGAGCCTCTGGGAATTGATGATATAGGCCTGGGCCCCTCTCGCATGTTGGCCCTTCAAGCAGCCTAAATTTCTGGAGCCATGAATCGTGAATCAGCCAGACCCTAAACCCTAAACCCTATATAAACCCTAAACCCTATATAAACCCTAAACCCTAAACCCTAGACCACCGAACGCCTAGACCCTGCAAGGCCCCTCAAACCCTCTCCCTATAAGCATGAAATGCCTCCATCAGCCCCATTCCCTACATTCCTGGACTCTAAGCCCGAACCCTAAACCCTTGACCCCGAAACCCCTAAAACCACCCCTAAAACCCTATAAACCCCGAAACCCTAATCCCCTAAACCCCCTCAACCCTCAGCCTCTCAACCCCTAAACCCCTAAACCCTTAAACCCCTAAACCGCCCCTATAAACCCCCTAAACTCCTCCTATAAGCCCTAAGCGCCCTGTTTGAAACCTCAAACCCTAAACCCTAAACCCTAAACCCTAAACCCTAGAAGCCCTCTCTAAGTGAGGCTTGTGGCCCATGGCCTCTGTGCTCGACCTTGCCTGCGGCAGCGGCGAGGCGCCACGAGCACGCTGAGACCCAGAGCCCTTCAGGGGTTTAGGGTATAGGGTTTAGGGTTTAGGGTTTAGGGTTTAGGGTTTAGGGTTTTTTGGTTGGGTTCTTGGGTTTTGGGCCAAGGGTTTTAGGGTTTTGGGCTTAGGGTTTTAGGGCTTTAGGGATGGTTTTGGGCCTAGGGTTGTAGGGTTTTGGGCTTAGGGCCTAGGGTGTCAGGGTGTTTGGGCTTAGGGTTTTTGGGCTTTAGGGCTGACTGAGGGATTCAAGGTTTAGGGTTTTAAGGTCTATATTCCTTAACTTGAGGTGGGTATGGGGCTCTTTGGAGCTTTCGGGCCATCTTGCACTTAGCCCTCCACCCTTCGGCAGACCAACAAACCCTAAACCTTTAAGGGATTGCCAGGGTTTTTTGCTGTAGGGTTTAAGGTGGTAGGATTGCAGGTTGCGCGGGATGTTTTTGGAATTTGGGAACTAAATTGCCTCGGGAATGAATTATTCCACGGCGCGTATCCTCAATCTTCGGCCATCAGCCCGGTCTGGCGACTTCATCAGGGCATGGCATTAGCTTAAGGCCTAAGCCCGAAGTGCCTCTAATCCTAAACCCTATGAGCCCTACAACGCGTCAAAGCGTCCTGTATCAGCCCTATCAAGCCCTATTCGCCCTACAAACCCTAAGCCCCGGCAACCACGCAGGAATCCCTCAACTTCAACGGGCGCATGGTACTTCTGCACAAGGTTTAGGGTTTAGGGTTTCTTCAACGGGCGCATGGTACTTCTGCACAAGGTTTAGGGTTTAGGGTTTAGGGTTTAGGGTTTAGGGTTCAGGGTTTAGGGTTTAGGGTTTAGGGTTTAGGGTTTAATTAGGGTTTAGGGTTTAGGGTTTACCTGGTGATGCAAACGACGGTTTAAAACTAGTATGCCGAAATGTACGTAAATTTTGAAGAGACGTAAAAATTAGTGGTATCTCGAGATACGGGAAATGTCCCACAGCCAAAGTGTCACTACATAAATTTCGTATGCCATATGACTAGGAATTTTTCGTATATATAAGTATATATATATATATGTGTATCTCTCTGCATATATATATATACACAAACCCTATATAGACCCAGGAGAAGCTTGGGGGCTTCTACGGGTTTCCTCGCTCTAGCGAGGGGGCTCTTGAGAGCTCTGAGGTTTGGGTTTCCAGGGTGTAGGAGGGTTTAGTCTACTTCTGGGGGATGCAAGGGTTCAGAGTTGCAGGCTTCTTTTAAGAGGAGCTTGGGGGCTTCTACAGGTTTCCTCACTCTAGCGAGGGGGCTCTTGAGAGCTCTGGGGTTTGGGCTCGGGGGTCGACAGGTCGAGGGCTTCCAGGGGTTACGAGGGTTGTTTTTAGGGGATGCTAGGTAGGAGCCTCTCTGAACTTTTGGCGCTGTGCCCCACGTCGGCTCAATCCCCGTGCCGTGCTTGGAGGTCCATGGTACTTAGTAACCAATTCGAATTGTACTTATAACCCAATGTCGTACCTTTTGGGGGTGGTATGCGAGAATCCCCTGTAACTAATCCAGAAAGGAACCAGATACTTGGAGGTTGAGGGTAAGCTCCATGCATAATCAATTTAAGCAGCGACACAAGCAAAACTGAGACAGTTAGCGAAAAAAACAGTCTCACTCAGGAAAAAAACAGTCAGACTGAAAAAAACATTAAAAAAACAGTCCAAGTACGGTGCCATGTTGACTTTCGGGTTCGGGTTTTTGCCGACATCATGGTGACATATTACGGGGGCTGTTCGGGGGACGGCTTTTCGGGGTCGACATTTTTCACCAAATGTCGACCCCGCATCCTCAAAAATCCAGTCTTTTGAGGGGTGGGGGGCCTGCATGAGGGGGGCGTGTCGGGGGGGGGGGGGGGGGGAGGGGGGTGTGGGGGGGTCGCAGTGTGGTGGGGGGGCTGTGGGGGGGCGGGGTGTGGGGCTGCGGGCTGCGGGGCTGCGGGGGCTGCGGGGCTGCGGGGCTGCGGGGCTGCGGGCTGCGGGGCTGCGGGGCTGCGGGGCTGTGGGTGCGGCTGCTGCGGGGCTGTGGGGCTGTGGGGGTGGG